AAATGTAAAGCTTCCTCTAAATTTCAAGTTATGTAAGACAGTAAGGAAAAATGAAGGGAGGAGGGAAGAAAGGAAAGGAAAGAGGGAGGGAGGGAGGGAGGGAGAGAAGAAAAGAAGAAAGGAAAAAGGTAGGAAGGAAAGAAAGTAGGAAGGAAGGAAAAGGTATAAAAATCCAAATGACAAGAAAGTTTATCTAAGACTTGCAACAACAAAAAGTTTGTTGGTTTAGCAACATGTATACATGTATACAGGTAATCTTAATTTAACATAGCGTGTGTTGTATGTAATTTGTGTTAACTCTTATTTACAAAAGTAAAATGAAAACAGTTAAGTAGGTAAGGGGTATAAGTATAAAGTTATATCTTTTTGCTAGAAATGGTTAATAAAGACAGATTATGTCTTAGTTACTATTCTCTTGCTGTAAGAAGACACCATGATCAAGGCTACTCTTGAAAGCATCTAGCTAGGGGCTTGCTTACAGTTTTAGAGGGTTAATCACAGTGAGAAGCAGCCAGGCATGGCACTGCAGCAGGAACTGAGAGCTCTACACCCTGACCCATGGAGAGAGAGAGAGAGAGAGAGAGAGAGAGATTGGGTCTGGCTTGAGCTTTTGAAACAACAAGCCCACTCCTCCAAGTGACCCATCTCCTCCAACAAGACCACATTTACTCCAACAAGGCCATGCCTCCTAATCCTTCCCAAACAGTTCCGCTTCCCAGTGACTAAGCATTCACATATATGCAGTTATTGGGTAGCAGCTCTCAACCTGTGGATTGCCACCCCTTTGGGAGTCTCATGTCAGATATCCTGCATATCAAATATTTCCATTATGATTCATAACAGTAACAAAATTATAGTTATGACATAGCAATGAAAATACTTTTATAGCCACCACAACATAAGAAACTTTAATAAAGGGTCGCAGCATTAGGAAGGTTGAGAACCACGGCTAAAGAGACTATTCTTATTCAAACCAGGACAGATTGTCTGTGGTTGTTGCTAAAATTCTTCCTGTGGGGAGATGCAAAGCAGCATCTATGTTCCTCCCACAATTGTAATGGCAAACGGAGGGACAATTCTACCAAAGTTCGCTCTGGGGAGCCAATGCATTCATTGAGTTTCCCTGCAGAGCCTAGGCAGGGAGTTACATACAGGGGTGTGGGCATTCCTCCCCCAGCCAACCACACCTAGAAAGCCTTGTCCAGCACCAATGAGGGCTTCCTCATAGCCACTCAGATGGAGCCTCCATCTTCTCCAGTCTCTGTTTACCTAGCCCCTTGCAGCACAGTCAGGTAATAGGGAGCCATTGGCTACTCAGGTGAAAAGCTCATGCCTTTATTGTGGGGACGGGACCACTGCTGGATGATCTTTTGCAAGGGAATACATCACTCATGGCATTGATAAAGTAAGCTTTTGTCCTAAAAATAAAACATAAAAGAACAGAATATAGGAAATTTCAACCTAAGACACAGAACTGTGCCAGATAGGACTTAATGATGGCATATGCTTCGTGATTTATGACTATAAGATGTTCGAAGTTCAAAGTTCAGGATATGATATCAAATGTCACCAATGGCATTCTCTTAAGATAATGACTTAACTGTGGTAATATTTACAAAACAATTACTTTAAAGACAGAATATGTGCATATGATCAATATAATTGCTTGTGTTTTCACTAACTTTTTTAGGCTTCAGTTGCTTGGGAAAACGAGTCTTAAGAGAAAGGATTTCTAGAAAATTGTTTGCTTTTGTTTTCTAAAGTTTTTCCTCAAAGTTACACAGAAGTTAAAAATGACAAGATTGGTAAGACAACCAAAACCTGGTGCCCTTAATCACTGAAATTAAGAGGATCGTAAAGGACAGACAATGTTGTTGTAGCACGTGCCCTCCATAACCAGCTGAGATCTGGGGAACGGCAGGATGCTTCTCTTAAGTCACTCTTCTCTTGATCAGAGGGCCACATATTCTCCAAAGAGACTGGCCTATGGATCCTCCAGGACGGAGCTCCCCAGGAGGACATGCTCCCTGTGTTTCCAAAGGAGGCTGCATGTTCAACAGAACCATGACTCATCCTACAAATAACACCACTGTCAGAGAAAAATCAACATAACTCGGGGTGCTCCTCAAAGGTTCTCTATGAGGAAACTCTTGGGAGGTCTCAGCTTCAAAAAAGTTTAACTGTGGCTACCTGCCTAGTTTTAATGAAAAAGACCTCTTCCAAAAAGCCCTGGCTGGAGCCAGGTACAGCTGCTGGAGCCTGTAATCCTAGCACTTGAAAGGCTGAGGCAGGAGGAGTCATCACAAACTCCAGGCTATCCTTGGCTACTTAGTGAGTTCCAGGTCAGCCTGGGCTGTAGAATGAGAGCCTATCTTGAAGAAATAAGTGTTAAGTTTTTTCAGACCAACAAAACTCTCTGCCGATGCAATAATCCAAATCACACCAAATTAGAAGAAACCCAGGTTTAATGGACACCTACACTCCAGGGTGGCCCCCGGGAAAACACAAAGAAGAGAAAAGGAGACCCAGAATGACCATGGAAAAAGGGGAGATCACACATTCGTTCTCTGGAGGGACAGTTTAAATAGCCTGTGGGAGTAGTCTTGCCCTTCCCTGGGAAGGGGTCACCCTTTGTCGGGCTTTCTTGGAGGTAGAGTTTGAATTGAGGCAACTCCCAGGGGAGGTGACTTGAAGTGGAGTTTTCCGCCCAACATTCCAAAATGGATGCCGGAGGCTGGGGTGAAGCCCCCAGCCAAACAATCCAGACTCTTTGTATAAAGGGGTGTCAGGGATCTGCGGTGATGCTTCCAACCAAACAATTAGGACTAGCGGACATGGGTAGGTGTTTATGATTTAATATGAGGTAGGCTCTGGAGACACCATCTGCTAGGGCGTGTGCTCACCCTCGTGAGTCATAACTGTAAAAAGCTCTAGTGTCCTCAAACCAGCATCAGGACAGTCACGCATAGAGCATTGCATAGCAAGAAACAAAGCATGAAACAGCAAGGCGGGTCTCACAAGCATGCTTCAAGATGGAAAGAGGAAATCTCAAAGGGTAAGAGTCGTGGGATTCCCGGACAGACAGGTCAACAGGTCAGAATGAGGAATATTCAACCAGGCTTGTACGATGGTAAACTATAAACGAGTCAAGGAGCTGCCTGTCAAGAGAGGAGCTCCCCAAAGTGCTGAGTCAGGGACTTCCGAGGCAATGACATGGAAGAGACCCCTTAGTAAGCGTCTGGTTTAAGGTGTGTTCTTGCTCTTAAGAGATAATACCCTTATTCGTTAAGGCATTTTTATTCTTAAGAGAGAATGCCTTTATTCGTTACCTTTGTGTCCAAATTGTATTTTATAACTTAAATTACCTTAAAGCAAAAACAAAGGGCAGAGATGACTTACAGAGCACTCACTGTGTAAGTGTGAGGAGCATCCACATAAAAAGCTTAGCAGGGCAGTGAATGCCTGTAATCCCAGCACTGCGGTAACAGAGACAGGGGCGTTCTGGGGACTTGGTGGTCAGCTAGTCTAATCAAAGTCCTAAGTTCTGAAGTCAGTAAGAGAGCTTGTTTCAAATGATAAATAAGTGGAGGGCAATAAAAGAAGGTGCCCGACATCCACCTTTGACCTACACACACACACACACACACACACACAGAAAGAGAGAGAGAGAGAAAGAAAGAGAGAGAGAGAGAGAGAGAGAGAGAGAGAGAAAGAGAGAGAGAGAGAGAGAACATACCAATCTCTGTGCTGGTGTGTCTGGAATGAGGCACCATGGCTGGCTAATTATACAGATTTCTACATGCATGGGAAAACGGTAAGCAGAAACTCCCTGGGCAGCAGGATGACTGGTTGTTGTATCCCCTTCCCTGCACATCCTGCATTCTGCAGTTCTTTGACACTCAGTGAGGACCACTCCTAAACTGAGAACAAGAGCAGCACATGGCTGCCCATCTCTAGCTCTTCAGCATCTGAACTGCCTCTCGGAAGAAGAGACCTCTGTCTGCTCCGTGCCAGAAGGAAACAGGAAGGGAGGAAGGGAGGAAGGGACACGGCTGAAGTCAATACTCGGGAGCCTCCCTCCACAGGTTCTTGTCATTTGTAGAAGGATAAGGCCTTCGGAGGCACAGCTGATGGGGATCTGCCAGACCTGGGTGTGACTCACCCCTACGCAGCCTGGTTGTTCTTTTGTGAAGCCTGGAAAAAAGCAGCTATTAAGAAGAGGTACAGTCATTATTAAATAATAACTAACACCTTTTCAAGATTTGTTTATGGGTATGTGAGTCGTGTGGGTATGTGCTCGGGGGGGCCAAGTGCCCACAGAGGCCAATGGCTTTAGATCCCCGGGGAGCTGGAATTGCACCGGATGTGGATGCTAGAACTAGGATACTCTGCAAGGGCAGGGTGTGCTCCTAATCACTAAGCCATCTCTGCAGTCTCCGTAACTAACCCTTTTAAACCCTTGTTAGTATCATAGCATTGGCCAAGGGGACATGTGTACCCTAATCCTAACATTCACAGTGTGGAAGGCAGGCATCGCCATCCTTGTTTGTACTGATAGTCCAGTCAGCACTCAGCTTCTCTACTCTATGGAAGTTTCCGTTCCCCCATCCGTACCTACTGCTTTAGACTGCTGACAACCAGATAAAGTAGCCCAAAGTGGGTATGTGACTTGCCGCAGACAAGCCGCCAATCAGAAGCTGTATCTTTCAATAGCTTTTTTTTTTTTTTGTAGTAAAGGAGAATTCTTCACCCTTTAATCAAACTAAACACTGGTTAATCTGTAGTCTCCAGCCTAGAACATAGCCGTTGCCTCTGCCGTGGAGGTGAAGATGTTGGATATGACATAGAAGCTGAGAAATGTTACCTCCCTAGGGTGGAATGGAGAAACAGGTGTGATGCAGAGAAAATAATCTTTATACAGCCTCCTTAGAGATAAGAGTGAAAGACGGGGGGAAGGGGGGCACAGGGGGACGGGAGGCGGGGAGTGAGGCTTCCAAACTCTTATTGGCTTTCTACTGCCTGTCTGGCAGCACCCTCCCACTCCCATCTTCTGGCCCTCCTGCTCCTGGGACCTCTTCTCCTCCTGTGATATCTTATAAAGCGACCTGGCCTTTCTGGCTGCCTTAGGAGAGCAGACATTCCGGGGTCATCTCTCACCCTCCTCAGCTTAGTCCACCTGGAGTGCTGCTCCTCACTGACCCCCACCCCTCCTCCGCCCTCCACCCCTCATCTCTCCACCCTCGAGATAAGCTGCTCAAGCCACAGCTTTTTGAGAGCCAGAGCCTTTCTGGAGCCTGTCTTGCAAGGTGGGTTGTCGTTTCAGCACAAGGGGTGGGGAAGCAAAATACCAGGAGGAGGAGGAAGCCGTGAAGCCGTGGGGGAGTTTCTGAGTCAGAGAAGGAACGGTGCTCTGCCAAGCAGGCAGTAAGGCCACTCAGTCCACTGGGGAAGCCCAAGCCATTAACAAGGTAAGAAGAGAGTTCCTCAGGATGCAGCTACCAAGTAGGACAGACATTATCCCAAGGTCGCAGGATCCAGGTATCAGATAGCATCTGACATCCAAGATGGAATGGATTCTGAACCCTACAGGAAGAGGTTAGGGGGATCGGGGAGTGTGAATCAGACTCTGAATCACCAAGGGAATCTTCTAGAAAAAGAAACACAAGCTGCTTACCAGAAGCCCTACCCAGCCAGCTCTGAAAAGTGGGTAGGACTGTTGTGATGTAGCCCGAGTGATTCTGACCTCCAGGCCTGCTTCCCTCCTGCTCGCTGCTGCATGGGAGATAGGAGACGGAAGCTGCAGATTTGGTCTGGCTTGCAGAGTGAATTGTGGCCATTAATTAGATCAAATGAACAGAGCTATTGCACCCAGACAGTCAATCAAGCAAGCGTCAGTTGTTCGTTTTGAAAACTAGGGAAGTGGGGTCCATGAGATGGCTCAGGGGATAAGGGTGCTTGCCATCAAGCCTGATGTTCTTAGTTCCATTCCTGACAGAAGATGGTTCAGTTTCCACACCTGTCCTCTGACCGCCACATGCTACATACATACAATGTGAATTTAAACAACAGGGATGTGGCCAGCCCTGTTTTGAATGCCCAATTGGGTCTAGTGGGATTGTATTTTATAATTGCCCCCCTTGAGGGCTTCTGGAAGTCCAGAAGTGACTATAGGTATGAAATTTAATGGCATTTGTGGGGCCAGCCTAGCAACTGAGGTGGAGGAGACCTCTGCCTCAAATGGCCTTGGATAAGTCTGTTTCACTGGGGCTGAATAATTCCACAAATATAAAATAAAAATTCCTGGCCCCACATTCCTTGAAGGCAGCAAGAGCCCCCCACAGATACTGGTTCACTCAGACATTCCCGGACAGGTGTTTCCCGCTCCATGTGCCCAGCCCTGTCCGTGGACACCGAAGACAGCATTGGTGAGGACCCAGGCTCCATCTTTCTAGCACTCAAACGGCTCGAGTTTGTTCTTTGGAGTGTGGTAGCTAAGCGTGGAATCCCGGCACTCAGGAGGCAGAAGCAGGAGGATTGAGGTGAGTTTGGGGCCAGCTTTGGAGGCAGTGTGAGACACTGTCTTAAACAAGTTTGTTTTGTGGTCACTTTTATCTGGGAGCTTAACCCTAAGAGTTGCCCAGTTCTCTCGGCTGTTTATGACGGGGCCGGTGTCCCCAGCCCGCCTCCATTCTTTCTGTCTGTGCAAAGCCCTTGCCTGCCGTTTCTAACTTCTGCTTTTAGGGACATCATTCCACGAGAGAATCTAAAGTTGAGTTGCTCAAGTCTTCAGAATGCTGGCCTCTTAGATTGGTATCTAGGCAGCTTGTTTAGTTGATTTTGGTCGGGATTTCCCATTTTGCTTTAAAAAGCTTGTTCCTGATTGGCTGGGGAGGATCTGTAATCCAGGCTCCTGTAGTCAGGATGCTGGAGAAAGCCCCTAACTCTGGTGCCTTCCCCCCACCCCCACCTCCGATGATGGTTCTCAAGACATGAACGTTCTGATGACTTTCTTTTTCATTCTCAAGTGATGTGAGCGCCCATCACTGAGACAGTTAGTCTGTAATCCGAGCACGCAAGAGGTGTGGGTGGGAGGGTCAGAAGTTCAAGACCGTCCTCGGTTCTATGAGCAGCTCGGAGGCCAGCCTGAGCCACAAGAAACCCTGTCTCAAACAAAGCTCAAAGGGCTTTCTGCTTTTTAACAATGTGACTCTTCCTTGTTCCCCAACTATCTTCATTGATCCAGGGGATGTAAGGAGTCCGAATCCGTTGTGGAAGCATTACACACCATGAGAAAGTTAAGACATGGCTTAGCTGCAGCTCAATGGGAAGTCTGCAGCTGTGTCCTGTGCAGTGGCTGGGAAGCTAATGGACATTTGGGAGGACTGGGATAGCATTGTTTATGGAGAAAGGGGCCTGTGGGTAGTCTCTTGCAGGAAGAGTGACAGTTCTCTAAACGTCTTGGGCTCCTCAGCAACAAGACAGCTTGGGCAGATCCGAAAGCTGACTCCGAGGGTAGAGGTTGAAGAACAGAGGAAGGAACAGGAAATCGAAGGACAAGCAGAGGCGGGCTCTGGGCACAAGGCCTGGGGATTTGGGTTTTAGCGTGTACATGTTAGAACGTTAATCTAAGGGACTTTAGAGAGCGACAGATGTGTGCTTTAGAAAGAGGTGTGGTAGCTGAGGGTGGGGAGGGCTAGGAGGCAGTGGGGAAATGCCAATACCTCCAGCAGAGAATTCCAACAGCAAGAGAGATTGACTCGGGCTGGAACCGAAGGGGGAGTGTCTGTTCTCCACGGAGCTCCCTAAAGCACCAGGTACCCAGCGGCCCTCACATCGGCCACACACAGACTGTCCCCTGCCTCTACCATTGGTTGTTAAGATGAGCTAACTCTGCCTGGGATGTGACCTAGAGTGCCCCCTAGTGGGGTAGGCAGTCACAACACATGCTGTTTAGATCCTGGTGACCAGGGACTGGACAAGCTTCATAAGAGCTCGCTCTTCCTGGCCAGGGCTTATCCAGAGCAGAAGCAGAGGGACGGAGAAGCTGCTCCATGATAGAATGGCAGGAACAAGGAGCAGGACTTTCCCCAGCACCATCCTGCCACCCTGCCAGAAAAAAAAAAAAAAAAAAGGGCGGGGGAAGAAAACACAGATAGGGCCTGGCTTGGGGCCAGCAGCAGCTGGCACACAAGGAAGGCACAGAGCCATCAGGCCCTGCCGGGCAGCATTGACCCAGGGCTGGGATGGAAGGAAACCCCTGTTTTCCTAGTTCCAGGGGATGTTAGCTTTGGGCAAAACAGTCACAGAACCTGCTTGTAAAACTGCAGCCTAGGCTCTGGGTGTCCGCAGGCTGAGTTCTCCTCTCCCCGACACGCCATTGCTTCCTAGCTTTGTCCTATACCGTTTCCCACACTCAGGCTGTCCCTAGGAAAAGCTCTCTGTCTTGTGGTCGCGGAGAGGGTACAGCTACACTTAAACCATAATCAGCAATGACATAGTTTCCAGTTGTTCCCCCTTGGACTTCTGTTTTACAAACTGGTCATCCCCTAAACCATGAGGCCCAGAGGGCAAGACAGGAAGTAGCATTCACTGACACTGTCCTCTGTGATAGCATTGTGGGCATGGAGGGAGTTGTGTGTACACATGTGAATGCAAGTGAGCAAGACACACTTGGGCATGCAGGAGCCAAGCAAGGATGTCAAGCGTCTGCATTTGAGGTAGGACCTCTCACTAGACTTTAGGTCAGCAAGTCCCAGCCATCCTCTTGTCTCTGTTTTCCCACAACATGGGATGCATGCACCCAGATGGCCACAACACAGGATACATGCACCCAGATGACC